GGACACGAATCGTGTTACCGCAATCTTTTCGGCCACCGCACTCCCCGCCCCTTCTACAGTGGCGTTGTCACAGCGATGCGCAAGATTTGTTGCTTTAGCTTCATGGCGTTAGGCTGTGCCACGCGGAGATGGAGCCCACATAAAATCAGAACTATATTTTCGCGCCCAAATTAGGAGGACGCCGTATAATAGTGTACGCGCGTTACACCTTTTTAAGAATGGACGGTTTGGTGGCTTGCGATTATGGCCAACAACTTTCTAAATACAAGATGCCGTTTTCTTTTCTAATTAAAAGGTTAATTAGCGAATTTTAGGCGATCGGTCGGTTTTAGTTGCGTTCGTTATTGAACCTAATCCTCGCCTGGCCGTATAGCTCACCTACACAAACCGCAATGGCGCTAATTTTCACTGGACAATTTGGTGGCTTTCGATTACGCCCAACAACTTTATAAATCAACTATCCCGTTTTCTTTTATATTTAAAAAGTTTATGAACAAATGTTAGGTAATCAGTCGGTTTTTGTTGCGTTCTTTCTTGAGCCCAATCTTCGCCTGGCCGTTTAGCTCACATCCACAAAACGTTAATTTCCACGATTTTTTCTAATATCTAGTAGGTGAAAAAACAAAAAAAAAAAAACAAAAACGTTGTATATAAAATAGAGGGCAGTTCTTTTCTGATATAAATAAAGCGTGGGGCACGCGTCTCGCATGCATCTCTCGTTTTTTTTTTTGGGCCTATGAAAACAAATCCCGGGACATTCGAAATTGAGTTTATGATGGGGCGGGCGCTTTATCACGGGGTATTTTGTCATGTTTCATAAGCTTTATTACTAATCAGAAGGAAGCCACGCGAGCCGCATCACGTTGCAAACAGCTAATTCGGGTGTTTCTCAAGCAGCTCTAGAACTTTCCAATTGACATTTTGGTTCTTAATACATCTAAAAAAGTTTGGTACTTAGTCCTAAACATTTAATTTATTAGGCATAATTAAAAATACTGCAACTCTCGCAAGACGTCTACCCAAAACATAAAGTTGGCTTAATTCATTGGCGTAAAGTGGCTGCGTCTTTCATTTTTATGCTTGGTCTTTAAATATTCGTGAAAAGCATTCGCGACCTTATCTGTCAAGGCGCGTACGCGGACAGCGCGGCCTCCTCGGCAAGTTGTTCCCTCATCGAAGACGACAATGAATAAAAGGTGCGATAAAAATCTTAATGCCTGAAAAAAGCGCAAGTTTAAAATAATTCTAAGGGTGTCAGTTGATTTTATTTCTACTATATTCAAATTTCAACACTCGTCGCGGGCAGCATGAAAGAAAGCACTGCACTCTTGGCGCAAACCAGTGCCCAGTCAACGGTTCTACACTCAAACACGCATCACCACCCGACCTGTTTGAAAAATAAATAATTTTCAGTACTTTTGGTAAAAAAGGCGAATTTTATACTGAGCGTGATATTTTGTGGACCCAAAAGTCCTGTAACCGGGATCGGTAGTTCATAGCTTCAGGAAGACGAAGAACGACGGATGCATTATTTCCCGCGGAAGTACTGTTTTGAATTTGAATTCTACATAAAATTGTAATGCACAAATTGTGGCACAATACCGAACTTGCTTGATTACTTTTCTTTTAAAGACAACATAGCCAGACATATTCTACAGATATTGCATAATTCATTTTAATTGGCGTACAGCGCGAAAGACAAGTATGGACATAAATAACACAATAGAGCTCTGCATCTCTACTGCATTTCTTTCCGTACTTGTGGACAGTTAGTCCGCATGACTATATTCAAAAACTGCCAAATCGTTTAAGCCTACCCCTTTTTATAATTTTTTTTGTAGATTAATTTTGGCGAATCCCGGCTGGGTTCGGGTAAAGATCTCGCACGTGTTCAAGGACACATTTCGGCATGATTTCCCGCTTGGTGACGACGTTGAGCTGACCGCTGTTCCATTCCTTTTCTAAGTAGGCGGGGAACGCCAGACGCCTAAATTATCCAAGCAGCCCCAAAACTTGCGGTAGTACACCTTCCGAACTCCTGGGTTTTTTTGGAGATGGCCTTCGCCCACCCTGACAAAGCCCCAAACAATTATGTAAGGGCTGCAGAGGCTATCTGGGCATTCCGTTTCTTCATCAGCGAACTAATGCGAACAGAAGAGAATGAAAACTTCGTAATACCTGCTGTCTTTTAATAAATGGCATAATATTGCTAGTTGCACTATTTTACGCGAAGAAAATTGTGATTTTGCGGTTCTATCTCCGTGTTTCCCGTTCTCTTTGCTGATACGCAAGATATTTGTCGGGTGTCAAGTTTTCAGTTACATTTGTTGACAGAAACTAAATGCACGTTTGGCCACGAAGAAATTTTTTTTTCAAAGGCTGAAGATAGATGAAATATACCATAAACCGTTTCAGTTTTTATGTAAGTTTGTTTTTACTCTTCTTAGTAGCTTCAACGAGGCGGCCGTCACTCTAGAAAACACCTGTAGTACGAACCTATATATTATGCCCCAGAAATGGTCAGACTGGGTCCCTCTGACTGCAATATCTTTGACTTGTAATTACTCATTATTATTACTTTGTACACAAAAAAAAAAAAAAAAACACAATAGTGATATAATCACTCTTCAGTGTGCCGTTTTTAGAACGACAAATTTTCAACTCTCTGAGTAGAGCTCAAAGTTCGGATAAAAATACCCATCTTTTTTCCTTCTGCTGTGATGTTCAAGTTCCGTTCACTCGAGATAAATATGCGGTGGTGTAGCGTGTGTGGCCGCATGCGAAAGTATCTGAATGTAAAAGAACTTGTTGTTGGGCTAGTTGGTGTTGACTATCTGAGTGTGTTTTAGAACTGCAGAAAAAGAGCAAAAAAAAAAAAAAGAAAAAAAGAAGAAAAGCGAGCCAGCCCGAACCCTTCCGAGCTGATATCCAGCCTGCCTAAATAATCCCTGGTTTTTGGGATTAAAGCAGAGAACCTTGAAGGGTTACAGAGATTTTGTCGGGGGGCCGGTAAGCCCATTAGCACTCGTGCGAGAAGGCCGTAAAAAGCGAGGAGGAAAATGGAGGAGGAAAGGGGAGGAGGAAAAAAAGAAAAGAGGGGGAATCTTCTGCCACGCTGAAGAAAATTTTGAGCCCCCGCCTTTAAGCAGAGTGCCGTCGTCAGTCTTTGCTGATGCGCTGGCGTTTTGGACGTTCAGTTTTCTCCGCCCGCCTCAGCATTTTGTTTTCTCCCATGAGAACAAACGTTTTCTCTTCGTAAAACACATACACACACGCATACACACACACACACACGCTCGCAAACACACACACACACACACACACACACACACACACACACACACACACACACACACACACACACACACACACATACATGATCGTTTGATGTACTGAAGTTTGTCGGACAATCTGGACGACGAACTGCGGGCAGTAACAAAGTAAATAAATGAAATAGCACCACTGGGTGCCTCATTGTTGCGCTGACTGCAGGATAGCTTGATTTTACGAGGAAAAGAGGGATCATATAGTCCCCTGAAGCCCAAGAACCGTAAAAGGGGGAGTTTTCACAGCTCTTCACATATCGCGAGTCTTGAGCACAGCTAGTTCCTTGCTGATTGCAAAGAAGCCGGTACCTAGTAACCAAGCACAAAATCAAACAGCCTCTTTCGTAATACAAAACACGTGGTTAAAAACCTTCATTGACGTTTTAGCGTAACTGGCTGGAAAATAGGCCTATAACATAGCCCGTGTTCCCACACGCATCACTTCTGAAGCGTGGCTGGGTCATGGACGAAAATTTGGTCTCCTGTTTGGGAGTCAAAAAGGGCCTTGTCTCGAGGGCGGCATCCAACTCTATATATGGCGTCCGGAACGCGTCTCCGACGGGTGTGTTTAACGCGTCCCCAAAAGTGGTCTGCGATTTCCGCCTGATGGCGTCACGCTATACTTCGTTTCAGCTGCGGTCCGAGCGCTGCCGATGTTATGAGCCAAAGGGCCAATCAAACACCGCAGAAAGCGCACCGTCATGGCGTGCTCTCTGCGTTTGATAGGACTAGCCGGCGGAGGAGCGCGCACAGAGAGACGGCGAATAGCGGCTGGTCCTATCATCTGCAGAGAGCACGCCATGACGTTGTGACTCTTTCACTGTTTGATTGGCCCTTCGGTTCATTACATCGGCCGCACTCGGATCGAAGCTAAAACGAAGTATATACACACTGGCCTGGCCGTGGCGCAGCAGTGGAGTGTAATGCGACAGGCGCCTGTACTGCTGAGGATCGCATGCCAGCCTGACTGTCCAATGAACCTTCGGCAGCCGCAACGACAGCGTCACTCACCGTTCGGTCGTACGCCTTGCCGGAAATTTTACGACTAGCCGCCAGGATCGCGACAAACGACATGATACGACGTGGACGACGCCTGTGACGTCATTTTTCTTTCCACTTGAGGCCAACATTTGATGCATGGACGATATGGCACCCCTTGCAGACGAGTTCCAGTTAGCATAATAACGAACAAAACTCGCAGACAAAGCATAGTATAGACGATTGCAAGCTGGGCGACTGGCCGCCGCCATGTCTCTGCTCGAGCAGGCACGCCCGTGCGATTACGAGCTTGCAAAGCTACGTTCACTCGCGCGTTGCACGCGCTTGCACGCATGGGGCACCACTTGTGGCGCCATGCTTGCAATTGTCTATACCAACTTTTGTACAAGCTATCATCATCAACTAGACACAGAGAAACATCATTGTGAAAAAAAGAAAATGTACATCACCAGGAGCTTCTCCTAGTCCTGGAAGCCTCAGAGTGGCGGCCGATGTCTGGCTGAGTGTCTTAGTTTCTTTAGTGTCCCGACCAAGCGAACTGGAAGGACACGTATATGTAGACGATAAACTCGGCAGTTAGCGATTTTTGCGCCGCGTCCCTTTTTACGCGAGAGTGAAATCTCGGTTGGCCAAGTGCACGCTTTCATGATTCTTTGTGTGGCTGTTACTGCGCAGAGTTTGGAGACGCTGGAAAACGGGAAGCCGTACAAGTGCGCGCAGGAGGACGTGGACGACGCCAGAGAAGCCCTCAAGTACTACGCCGCCTACGCCGACAAGGTGTACGGAAAGACGATCCCCGTAGGTAAGTGACACGTTGGCTGAAGCGCACTGGAGGCCCTGGTTTGGTTTCGTCCTCCTAGCAAGCTTCTCTTTGGATTTGAATGACCCCGTGGATTGCGTGGACTTTGTTGCCACCTGGAGCCGATCACACGCGAACAAAGCGACTGCTCGCATTTCGTGATGAAGGCTTGGCAGGGTCGTATGACCGGGACATGTTTTTTATCCTCTTCGAAGAAGCACACGTTGCCACATGCACATCAGATGACAAACTTAAAGGGGCCATGAAACGAATTTTGGGCTGGGAAAAAAGATTTTAAATTGGGACTTTACTAATCGCATATCGTTTAGTGGGTCAAACGAAAAGGGGGTAGAAAGTCAAAAGCCTGCTTTTCGGTGCTAAAATTTGAAAATACAGCGGACTATTCCTTACCTCCTTTTTTTAAAGCTCTCAGCCTTTTCACTGCGATTCATCCGCGGTGCCTAAGCACGTCAGCCGAGCCCAGCTCACGCATTGGACACGAGAACTGCGTCACTCGCACGTATGTGTTCGTCAACAATCAATCCCTCGACGAATATTTGGATTCGCATTCGTGGCCAATGAGTGCCCTGACGGAACTTATCGTCACTTGCGAATGACAAGTACTATGGTGTGCTTAAAAAGCACGGTGGAAGCTTGGAATCATCGCACCGGTGCCTAAGCGTTTCGCGACGACATGATTTCTCAATTCGCCTTTGAGTTGAGGATTTAAGCTAAGGAGGAAGGAGTAGCAAAATCGTCTCATGGATCTTTAAAGGGATACTGAACCGAAATTTCGAGCTCACAAAACAAAGCCGGGCGGATAGGTGGGAAGCTGCAAAACCAAAAATATCACTCATACGGCGATATATCTAACGGATCGCCGTATTTTTTTGGAAAAGAAGTGCGCGATTGAACCCGGCCGACGAGGCCGACGAGACAATGCACGTCACGATTCCCATTCTCTCTCCTCCTCGCTACGTCCCGTCAAGCTGGTGAATCGAAGCGAGGAGGAGAGAAGCGAGGCCGCTTCCCCTCAATCTCAAATTCTTGTGGAGTACAATGACGACAAAGGCCCCGCTTGATCGCGCCCTTCCTTTCCAAAAGTACGGCCACCCGTTTGAGATATCGATGTTGAGTGATGTTTTAGGTTCGGTAGCGTCCCGTTCAACACTTCTGCAGCCTTACTTTGCGAAATCCAAATTTTGGTTCAGTATCCCTTTAAGAACTGCGACACCAAAAAACAAAAACAACATTAACAACAACAACAACTGAACGGGATACGCGATTTTCAGCCTCGCCATTTGCCGATATCTTCAAGTGCGTGTGTGTGTGTGTGTGTGTGGAGGGGGGGGGGGGGGGAGGGGGGCTCTCCTTCTCTTTTTCGTTCGTCACCACTACATCAGAGTGGCGCTCCTTTTGTGCGGGCTCCTTCGTCCCTAACAATTCGGAAGGAGCCGCGGCGCGAAAAAATGGTGTCGCTTCACTCAACTGCTGACGTATCTTTCGGGAAGGTAAGCTTAGCTCTTGCATGAAGTGTCCGTGGGAGTTAACCAAGTGACACGTTCGATTTATTTGTACCAGTCTACGTCCGCGCAAAATGTGTAGCGGTGTACAGAAACTTGCGTGACGGCCTACTTCCTGCAGGTGTTTCATGATCGGCTGCGCTCGTAAATCCGCTGAGGTGGTGTTCATTGAGTAATGCACGAGGTGTAGTAAGTTCCCAAACTTCTTTCTTTGCGACCCTAGACGGTATACAGGAGACGCATTGACGTAAGATCTGCGGCCATTTTGATAGTTTTGGTGCTGAGAGCATACTTTATGCGGCATACATTGCGAACCACGGAATTCGTTTCTCTTGGCAGGAACAAGTAGGAACGACCACAAGCACAATGCGATGACGTCACGTGCAATTCCCATGCATCCATTGGCCTGGCATATGGCGTGCTTTACAATTTGAGTTCGTGTCCTCCACAGACTTGTACGCTATACCATTGGAACATAATCATGCTAACTCTAAATAGTATCCCTAAGTAGTGCTTCTAGAGAATGTTTAAACTTTGTGAGCGTTCGTTGCTTTGGCAGTAGAGTGAGATCATCACCAAATTAATCAGAATTTCTGAAAATAAAGAATCCACCACGAGCGCTTTTTTTTTTTACAGCGGAGCTGTTAAGGGCTAGTTTCCCCAGAATTGTGTCCCCCGCAAAGAAATGAAGACACCGAACTCTGGACACCTACCGCCATCTATGAGCGACGGTGACAAGCCACGTATCTGGTTGGCGCCGTCGCTCATAGATGGCGGCAGCCTTTCCACTCTGTCTTGCCGCTCTGGCTTGCATTAAGTTCTATTGTACAGCTCCACTGGTCTTCCTTCTTCATCAGAGTGGAAAGGCGGAAAGTTTTTTTATTATAGAAAAGTTTGTAAGTTTTCTTTTAGTTTAGATGCTCTAGAAATTTGTATAAAGTTGAAATAATGCAGGTATTTTCGGCTACTATTCTTCAGTATTCCAACCAAACACGTTCTGACCAGAAGAAATTACAATGGTAATAGATGACCATTTTCGGACGGGCTGTGTGTACGACTGGCTACGACAGCAGTACAAAGGCACGTTCAGACTTGCGACTCGTTCGGACTTTTCGCCTTAAAACCTCTTACCGAGAAAACAGACTGGCGTCAGCTATCGGGCAGCCGCGCTGAACACTTGGCAGTCTCGTATATTTCCCTCTTTTTTCTTTTATCATTCTTTCTTTCTTGGCCTGGCATGTTATAACGACCATTTCTCGTAGGTAGTACGTACGTACATTTGTTCTCGCAAATACCGCAGAACCTTCGCTCTAGTCAAATGTAGTTCCAGCATCACCGCGCAGATGGCGCCAGAGTGTCAGTGTGTTTTCTCGTAAGAGATTTTAAAGGGTTTTAAGGCACACGGTTCCAAGGAGTCGTAAGTGTGTGAACAGGCTTTAAAAGGCTAGAATATGCTATTCCCAGTACTTCTAACACTGTCGTTTTTCGGAACCTTCGATACTGCAGCTTCGCACCACTTCTTCCTGATAAGAGTGAAACACAGTTTTCTTTTGTGCTAGACAGAACGCGATAGACTTCTTTTGCATTCGCTTCATTTCATCGCTTCTTCATGATTTACAGATGGGGACTACTTTACCTACACCCGCTTGGAACCCGTGGGCGTCTGTGGTCTCATCATTCCGGTACCTTTTGCATCACTTTCTTGTCTATTTCGTGTCAACATAATAAAATCGAAGATAGGGAAACAAAAAGAGACGTAGACAACCCTCAGTCACCGCGAAAGACGCGTGGTCGCTATCTCTCTTATCTATGAGATTTCGTGTTTTCGGAGTTTATTTTTTGCCAAATTTGGAGGGTCCTTTTCAGAGTTTATTCTGCGCCAAAAATTCAGAGCTTATCGGAGTTTATTTTTCTCGGATTCCCAAATCTCCAAAAATCGGAGCTTAATTTTGCAATGTTTTTTTATTATAAAAGTATCCAGGTGTAAACGTGTACTATTTAAAAAAAAAGGCGCTTGTTTGGCGCCGGTTGGAGACAGAGAAGGTATTAATATCATCAGTGTCAGTGGACCTAATAACCGCGTGCAAGAACGCTGACACTCCATCACCGCCGCCATCCCAAAGTCCAACGGCGATTGAAGCCACGATGCCCGGATTCACACGAGCTTATGGCGAGCCATCTTCGCCAGTTACAAGAAACCGTCAGTGCAGACGGGGCACCCAAAACCGTGAGCTCCGAGCACCGATGCTGGAATTCAACACGTCATATTGCCGCTTTCGTCACCGACGCGGTTACCCGCGCGCTTCACCAGCCCACAGCTGCACCGACCCACTTCGTCCCTCCTCTTTTCGGAGCCTTCAGCGGGCTCCAGCTGGGGTACCAGCCTCCTCCATCCCCCCTCCCCCCCTTCTGCCCAGGACACCCAGCCCCCAATCGGCTCCTCCCAGCCCCCGAACCCCTTCACAGGGGCTCCCCCAAAGCCTTGAACGCAACCGGCAGCTGCCGATCTCGCCACCAAGACCAACACAACAAGCTCTCTTCGGGACACCAAGTCAGTTCCCCAAGCAGTACCTCCCGCACCACTCCCCATGATCCCCACCCCCGTCTCTATCGACGCCCCCTACGCCGGGACGCAGCGACAGGGTGTGTTCACCCTCACCGTCTTGCCGGCGCGGAGGGACCTCGCCGAGGCCTTTCAACACGTACAACCAACGAGTAGGCAGGCATCCCACCTCTCCAAAAGGAACATTACAGAGCTGCAGCTCCTTGAGCACTATGTGGAAGCGTGGGACTGTAAATGCACCACCCTCTCCCCCCGCGCCAAGTTGTGGAGTTTTGATAGAGTCAGGTTGCTCTTCCATGTTGCACTAAATGGCTGGCCTTTGGCCTTCGAGGAGTACGGTGACCCCAGTGCTAGTTACCTCCTAGGCCATCCTCAAGTCCGGTCCAGCCGCTCAAGACGACCTAACTTCCCACACAAAAGCGTTACTTCACCCAGAACCATCCACACTCGCAGCCAGACCAGCCCCAACAAGGGAGGCGGCCGCGTTTCCAAGAAAAAGTAAGTTAGCCGACCACTTTACACCCCTCCCCGAGACCTTCAGCATCCCACACGAGTGCGTGCCCCTTTTGTCGGAATTAGAGCTAGGCCACCCAGGGTGTGCCTCGGGTGCTGCAGCTGATACTCTCGGACCCCAGACCCCAGTGGGTTATTGTGAACGGTGTTCTGACCGTCGTCATGCTCTAATATGCCAGTAGACATAGTACGACAGGCGATGGACGCAGTTGGCATCCTGCCACCGGCACCCTCCACATCTACAGGCACCCCCTCCGGACTACAAGGTACTCCCCCAGAAAGACTACATACATGCGATGACACACAAAGCGAGAAACTTGAAGAAGAGGACACTCCAGTAGTGGCGGCAGACAGTATGCTCAGATGGTTGAACAGGAATCCGGCGCCACCTATGCCCCTGGATCAACAACCAACGGACGATACAGGCGACGACCAGATAGACGAGGACGACAGCCATCAAGCTGCTGAGCGACCGTTTGAGCCTTCTTACCACCCCGTCCGACAAAGTTGACCCCCCCCCCCCCTCCCCCCCTCTTCCCCTTTCACATCTAGCTCCAAGTGGACTAGGCAAAATTTGGCCGGTCGTTGGGATATTTTCCTCCAGACAATCCTGCAAATCTGGTTTTCTTGTGCAACAAGCCTCCTTCATTAACAACACTCCGCGCCATCTGAACCAGCTTCCACAGCTGCGAACGGCCATGGCGTCGATGCTCAGCTCCGGAACCACCGAGAAGACCAACCGTGCAGCATACCTCAACCCGATCTAGCTGGTGCCCAAGTCCAGAAGCGCTTCGTGCTTAACTGTAAGCATTTGACGAAGCATTTAAAATCACCAGCATTCCAACTTCCTCCACTTCCAGTGGCGCTACAAAGAACCCCCTCCCTAAGAACTCCTTTTTTAGTACGAAAATACACCTGCAGGAGTCCTTTTATCGTTTCAAGTTACACCCAGTCACCTACAGGCTCACAAACTTCCGCCTAGATGACGAGTACTACCAGTAGATCGTGATGCCTTTTGGCATAAGACCAGCCCCCTTCGTCATGCAAATCATTGGCTAATCCATAATAAACCTGAGACGAAGGAAAAATAAAAAAACGGACAGTACAACGAAGTCTCTATAGAGACTTCGTTGTACTGTCCGTTTTTTTATTTTTCCTTCGTCTCAGGTTTATTATGGATACCATTCACCAGCTCGCCTGTGTTTTTTACCTTTCTTCACTAATCATTGGCTAATGTCATTTCCCAACACGCACGTGAACACGGACTCTGGTGTTTGAGTCATTTGGATAATTTTTTATTTGGGAATCAAGACGCTGCTGTCCTCGCGGCAACAAGCTCCTCCATCGTCCAAGAACGTCTCGACTGCGGCTTTCGAATAAACCTCAAGAACAGTGACCTCCAGCCCTGCCAAGACATAACCTTTCTTGGCTTCACCCTCGACGGCACCAACGAGACCAACGAGGCACACCAACCAGAGGGTAAGTGCTTCAAATTCCCCAATCCATGAAAACATGTCAACGAATAGCTGGTCACTCAGCCTTCTACTTTAGTGTGTACCAGGGCCACTACCACGCATTAACGATTATGCTTAGAGCGGCGAACACTGGGCAACCCGTTCCTCCAGACTGAATCCAGCTTTTCGAGAAAGTATGGAAAGCACTCCTCACAAAGTGCCGTGGACAATTCGTGAACCCATCCATCAACTTGCCAGTGATGCAAATAACTCAGTCATTGGAGTCTGTCTACCCTAAGGCAACGTGGCCATAATCTCGAGTCAACCCCCAGGTACCTGCCTACGAGAATTCCTGGCACTCACTCTCGCCGCCATCCCTGCCCCACCCTGCACCAGCATCCTTTGTCAAAATGCCGCACCAGTGCACGCCGTCAACACCGGACATGGCCGTGCGTTTCCTTCAGTTCTCGCCCTAGCGGCAACTCTTTTGTTTGCGAATAAAAAACTCCGGACCCCGATGGACGCCCACCGACTGGTACCGCGCTTACGGACCCTGTCGGTACTTTTCTGGCACAAATTCCTGTGTGCCGGTAGGGTTCGTAACCAGGGGGCCGATGCCTTTATAATGCTTACTCCTCCGTGGGCGAAAGAAACAAGGAATGCCTGAGAGTGACGAAAGAAATAAGGAATGCCTGAGAGTGAGGTCGTAAAATTTTCGTTCCGTCAACTCGGCAGCCTTTTCGGTAGCCTATTACCAGTTGTAACTTTCAAAGACCTACCATAAGAAGCTTTAAAATCTACAGGCGACGTCCGAGCAGTCGCCAGTGGGAAGCGACTGGTAAGGGTGGTTTTTTTAGACCTTAAACAAGAAACCTGGATCCACGTTCGAACTTCAACAGCAGTGCATTGAAAGCGCCGCAACCAACATCACGGATTAAGTATCGACAAACCACATCACTCCTGGACAACACAGCATGCCGAACGACTCAACACATGATGGTCAAGACACCGCGTCAAGATTCTGGACGTCCGAGTCAGTAGCGAATTCATCCGAGTCCGGGGCCGAAAATATGGAAGAAAGCAGCATCAAAAACGATGAGGGGAACAAGGCACAATCACGTAAGCGCCCACAAAAAGCGCTGTCTGACTCTGTTTCGAATTCGGGACCAGTTCGAAAACAGCCAGACGTTTGTGAAGAACTCACAGTAATCTTTGCCGCTACGAAGCCTGTCCAAAAGATAGCAGCTTTAAACAGCTTGAGACTTTCCAACGAGAAGCTTTGTCCATAGTGTATCCTTCAGATCCGCCTCAACGAGCGCCTCAACGTCGTCGCCGTTGACGTGCTAAACAGACAAACATCAAGAACGCTGCTGAGATACTTTGTGGTGTCCATACTTTGTGGTGTCTTTGTCAGGGCCTTTCAATCCTTTGACGTCCCACATCGATCGGGGCCATCACAAATGTCGATGCCGAATTGTCAGATCCTGAAATACTAGAAAACCTGCGATCAAATGGTCGCATAGCCAGGGTACGTCGTCTTGGGGTGACAGGCGTCGTAAAACTGACATTCAACAGTTCCCCTTTGCTACGTTTCGTGGTGCTAGGACGAGTACGACACCAAGTAACGGAAATCAAGCCCCGTCCAGTTCAGTGTCGCAACTGTGGTGGTTTCGGACACTTTGCAGTCTCATGCGCTCGCGCTTTCGCATGCTCTCGTTGTACAGAGCCGCGTCCTATAACTAACATTACGAGCAACACCAAATGCAAGTCCACAGTGATTGAGTGCGTCAACTGTGGAGAAGCACACGAGGCTACATCTCTAGCCTGTTTAAAATGGAGAGAAGAGCAGAATGTCATCACGTATGCAAAGAGAAACGCCGTTGACTACCGGTCTGCCAGAATTATTGTAAAAGAGACTTCGGGAGCCATAAAAGAAAACATTCAGAATGTGGTCGCCAACAAGGCGTCCAAGGAGAGTGGAGAAGCCCCAGTGCAGGACATGCAAGCCTCAGTCCTTGGCGATAAGGGATTAAGCTATGCCGCAGCACTCAAGACCCGCCCTCAAAACCACATAATAACAACTCTGCAACGGCGTCTAGTAAAGCAGAGCACGGTGTCACCATTCCCACGAGCACTGAAAAGTCGACGTGCGACGGAGCATCCGTTAATGCATCTGAACACTCATCCGGTTTCAGCAATATTTAACAGACTCCAACGGCTGATTCTTCACAAAGATCACCCTGGAAAGCTCAGGAGAAGCTTACGGCGAGCTGGATAAAATTAGTCAGAATGGCAGCAGAAATCGCATACGCTTATCTCGATGGAATTGATGCCCCGTGGGCACACATCCTTTACGGTTTCATTCAAGCAGCGTTCCGACTGCAGAATACGGCATAATGCTTCAACCCAACCGCGACCCGAAGAGACGCACCCGAACACCTTAAGCGGTTCCTGCTGGGGACGTGACGACAAGGATTATCAGGTACGAACGACAAATGTGATGGTTTTCGAAGCAACCACAATGGAAGCTTGGAATCGAGGCCTTCTTAAGCAAACGCGGTCAGAATTGACTGTCTGACATCACTCCTAATTTCATCGATGTAAGCAGAACTAACCCTGCTAAGGACGTAACGTCCGCGATTGGTCAGGTTTGACCAATCATGGAAGGCCAACCACAGCAACGATTTTGACTGGATCAAGCGGAATCGAGACAAGCACCGCCCGTCGGTCAAACTTTGTCCTGCCAGGAACAGGATTCGTGCGCTCTGATAGACGTAAAAAAAAGAAAAAGCACAGCCAAGATTTTGCGACGGAGAGGCACCGGACGTGAGGCACGCGGCGCGATACGGAGCACGATCAGGCTAGGGTGTCTCGAAACAATTAAATCGCAGCACGTGGGAGGGCTCACAGCACGTGGGAGGGCTGACTGCTGTAATCTGTGGGGAATGCTCCGCGAATGGCGCAAAGTCGGCCGGTGACCGAAGTTCCTTCCGCGCCACTGTGGACCCTGACGCATCGTGAGACAGACCTCATCCGATACCCGTAAAATATGCCATTGAAGCTCTCACTACCCGCAGCTGCACCAAATGTTACGACGATGTGCGACCGGCAGCAGATGAAGAAACGTATTAAGTCGATGAAATAAAAATATTTTATAGAAGACGGACCTTGCACGCGGAGCCTAGCGCGTCGTCCTCTTTGTTACAATATGTTTAAAACACCCCCCCCCCCCCCCAAAAAAAAAAAAAAGAAAAAAAAGAAAAGAAAAGCGTTTGCGTTGCGACTTTGAGCATAGTGAATAATCACGCTCAGTGCTAAGGAGCAGACAGTTTATAGACGCTTTGCAGCAACCGTGTATGGGCCTTCAGTTTTTTTTTTTGTTTTGTTTACATCGCTTCATCATTGCCACAGCGGGACAGGTTATTGCCATTTTAGACTACACTGTGCCTTCTGCTTAGCGTTGGCCTTTATGGAAGCTCGTCGACGCCCGCTTTAGTGGCTTGGTGTCTAGGTAAGACGAACGAAGGTCAGCAATGGCGGCTGTAATCTGGCGCGTCAACTATTTTGTGCTCCATTGTCGAGGCTAGCGTAGCTTCCACAGTGTTACAGCCTTTCACTGCTGCGAAAGCACGTGACTTTCTCAACGTCGACAGAGTTTGTGCACTGTGGAAGCTATGGTAGCTTTGGCAACATAGCGCATAATGGTTAACGATGACGTTCTCGCGATGCATGTCGGCAGGGGTGGCGTAATCAAACTGGCTGGTGAGATTGGTTCGACTATAAAATTTTCAGTGTGTATCGCAGAAAAGTAAAGTTCCTGTTGCCACGGAGATTCTGAAACCTAGATAATAATAATAATAATGATAACAACAAAAACAACAACAACAATGCCTTATTTGCATCGTGCCGAAGAAGAACCAATAGGTCATAAAAAGCGAAGCCTTCAGAAGGCAGTAAAGGCGCCCCGTGACTTCGACTCGGATTGCATCTTGGTCCGCAGTGGAACTTCCCGTTGCCATCGATCATGATAAAGTTGGCTCCCGCTCTGGCGGCTGGCTGCGTGTGCGTGCTGAAACCTGCTGAACAGACGCCATTGACGGCCCTGTACCTGGGAAAGCTCATTAGGGAGGCCGACATCCCCCCGGGGGTCGTCAACATTGTGCCAGGGTACGGACCAACGGCTGGGGCGGCCATTGCTGAGCATCCGGACATCAGCAAAGTGGCCTTTACAGGATCCACCGAGGTGCGTTCTTCTCCCACCATTCAACGTGGTTGTGCTGAAAATGTCAACATTGGAGTAAACAAAAAAGAAAATGAAAGACGTTTACAATTCTTTGTAGTGCTAAATTAGAGCGCAGCATTTGAAGTGGAGGATGGTAGGGTACGGAGGGTAGGGTACGCCTCTCCTCCCCCTCCCCTCCTCCTGGCCTCCCATTTAGGGGGAAATGTTCGCTCAATTCCCCGTTTAATTTAGCGGGGAAATTGACGTCGCGTTACCTCAACACCAATTCACCTTTCCCGCTAAATTTAGCGGGGAAACTGTGATGCCCCATAATGCAACGCACGGTAACGCCGACGCCGACGCCGCTTAACCCGGAAATGGGCGCCCAAGAGCTGCTCTCTACAAAAATTGACAGCCACCTTTAATTTTGTAGTCCTATTATGAATGGAATGTGATATTTAAGGAGCGATCGTTTAGATTTGCTTAGGAGACACCAACTCGCTCAGATCAACCAAGTTGCGGGAGAGGACTACATTGTCACGAACCTCAAGCCCGCCAACCGTCGTTTGAAGCATCATTAAAAGGCTGAACTTCTATCCTTCTTCGGAGACTCCAGGAGACGATTCTTTGGGGACAGCCAGAGTTGCGCGTCTGTTTTCGACGTGCCGCAGCGCCGCTATCCGACGATATCCGATCACGTGAGGAGTAAAATCTAAGTGCCGTGCAGGAAAGCCACTGATACGACCGGGTCCGCGGAACCCCATTCGAGAACCACTGCCCTAGGGAATGAAAGTGAACAAGGAAGCGAAGGACCTGTCCTTCAGATGGTCATTTATGGTCCCGAAGGGGAATAAAATTGCGGGGCAAATTGCCCTGCAGTTGTGTTGGTACGTGAAACCTGCCAACACAACTGTGAAACGTTCTTGGTTAGGCGCTAGCAACCTCCAGGCATTTCTTCTCGAGCTGTACCGCCAGGCCTCTCCACTCCTCTCCACCCATTCACTCATTGACCCTTTGACCTTCCCCGTCGGGTCCGCCTCTGTCCAGAATATGGGGAATGACGGGTAGCGGGTAAACTGAATTTATGTATGAGTCACATGGTATGAAGTCGTGTGACGACATTTTCCCCGCTAACTTTAGCGGGAAAACTGAATTTGCGTTGAGGTCACGTGACGTAGATTCTTTTCGCTAAATCTAGCGGGGAAACTCAATTTGAGTATAAGTCACGTGACGCGAAGACACGTGACGTCATTTCCCCCTCTGAATTTAGCGGGGAAACTAAACTGGTGTTGAGGTCACGTGACGCCAATATTCCCGCTAAATCTAGCGGGGAGACTGAATTTGCGTATAGGTCATGTGACATCAATTTTTACGTTAAATTTAGCGGGGAAACTGAATTGGTGTGTAGTTCACGTGACGTAATGTGACGTCACAGGTCACGGCCTCACGAATTGCGGCTTCGCGAAATTTGGAGCAAATAGCCAAAGAACAAAAGAAGAGTGGAGAAAAAGTAATAAGGGAAAAAGAAAAGGAAAAAAAAAAGAATAAGATAATGGCATTAAACGGGTTGCGGAACTTTTGGGTTGACTAAGAGTTGTTTAAGTATTGCTGTTGTGTGGTAACATAATACTATTTTAAGTGTCAAGACCAATCTGAGCGTGAAGACACCGGTTTTCAAACACTAGGGCGCCGTGTTGTTTGAAGACCGGTGGCTTCGCTGCATTTTCATAGCAGTTAAGCATTTTTCTTTTTTTACTTTTTCCTCAGGCAAGTTCACTCTTTGCAAATTTTATAGAAAAATGCGCCACCTGTGGGCAACGCTGCGCAAAACAAGAGCGCGATAGGTTAGGAAACCGATTTTTGCGGTTGATTTAAAGAGCCTAGCCGCTATTTGAGACACCCTGTAGAACGAAAACATAAACAATAAACATTGCTGTCAATTTAATTGTTTCTTTGCCACCGTAAGTACAACTATCGAGACATAAACGTTAAACACGTAGTTCATTTTATTTACGATGAAACATTAACTTTTAAGAGAAGATGAAAAACATAGTTTTATGAATACTCAAAGTTTGGTGGCATTCTTTGTGGCGCAGGTTGGCAGGCTCGTCCAGATGGCCGCTGGCAAGTCGAACACGAAGAGGGTAACATTGGAGATGGGTGGCAAGTGCCCCCTGGTGGTTTTTCCAGATGCCGATTGTGAGTTATCGGTTCTGCTAAAGTATGCCTAACTGGTGGATACTTCCGTCAAGCAACACAATTTGTCTTCAATCTAACCGCACAGAGAGACCTCGTTACTCATTACTCCTCCTTAAAAAAACATGAAATTCCTACCACATTTCTTGGAGTATAACGGGGACGGTTCTATAATAAGAACCCTCAGTTATTGGAGTCTGACCAAATAGACCAAAGTACAACAGAACGTTTTTGACGTCGACATAATTCATGTTAAAATCACTCTTTCCTTCCTTTCCTTCTCAATCAGGTACTTGACTGTATAAAACTTGGATACAATACAATAGGATTGCAATTTTTTATTTATTTGGAAAATATAGCAATGCGCAGCATTACTTCCTTTCTACGATCGCACACCATATGTCCAAATTACGATGTAGTGTACTAGACTCTTGAAAAAACGTAGGGCTATAGTAGTTCGTTCTGGGTTCCATCAGTTTTTTTTATTACACGCGGGAGCGTGCATCGGTACACTGAGCTTTGCAGTTGAGGTTACTGCCTGAGATTAAAGAGTAGTGGCCCATGCAGTGGACGAAGCGGCATCTATCGCTGACGAGGGGCTGTTCTTCAACATGGGCCAGTGCTGCGTGGCAACCAGCCGCCTCTACGTGCACGAGGACATCTACGACAAGTTTCTGGCCAGATCTAAAAAGCTAGCCGAGAAGAGGAGAGCATTGGTCGGGGACCCCTTCGATGAGGGGACTCAGCACGGACCGCAGGTGAAGTGAGATTATTCTGACGAACTAGCTCAAGTAAGGTAGCACATCTTGCAGGATGAACTTGAAATGAATCCTGAAGAGTCTCAGAGTTTCAGTCGCTACTGTGATTTAATTTAGTTATTAGTTGATCGCGGGAAAAACTGAGCTGACAGCATCGGGAGCATGCCCTTGATATTGGCACTGGGTGCTACCGAACGCGGAACGGAGTGTGTCCTCATTGTGGTGAGTTAAAAGGGAAAGTATGACCGAGGGCAGGGCCTTGGGCGGTCCCATGTTACGTGCCTCATTGGACAATATTACCATGGCATCATTTGTAAGCGGACAGCAGCGCCATTGCGGCAAACACCAGTTTATTATTTCTAAAGTGGGTTCTGAATAAAATGGCAGAGGCAAAAATATAAAAATACGTATAAATGGCCGTGTTAACATTTACGGCTAAGGAAAACGGCAAAGAACAATTAATTTTTTTTCGAAAGTTGGCTCTAAATAAATCAGGAGAGGCAAAAATACAATAATAGTAATATAATAATAATAATCATAACAGTTTATTATCTATTACACGTAATAATAAAGCAAAAAAAAAAAAAAACCGCGCTACGCTGTTTGGTTGCTGGTCGTGTTCCAATTTGCGGCTGAAGAATACCTCTACAGAGCGTGATAAAATGCTGAATCGGCACATTTTAACGCGAAAGCATTAACTATCCCATGGAGTGGAGCCGGCGGCGTCTGTAACCACGAAAAAAACGTGAAAGGAATTTTTATTCTTCCATCGGCTAAGCGAAACGTCTTCTAGATAGCCATTGGCTGCGGCCACTTCACGAGACCGCGTGCTCGGCCGCCTCTCTAGTGTCAGGATTTGCCGGAGTGGGGAGGGGGCTGCGGCCGCTTCATGAGAGCACGCGCTTGGCCTCCGCTCTCGTGTCAGGCTTTGCCGGAGGGGGTAGGAGGCTGCGGCCGCTTCACGAGAACGCGCGCTCGGCCGCCGCTCTCGTGCCAGGCGTTTTCGGAATTGGGGGGGGGGGGGGGGGGGGGTGCCGCGGCCGCTTCTACTCCTCTCGGTGCCGAAGAACATGGCGGCGCCTGAGGCATCAATATCGTAGGCGGCCGCAATTTTGGTAGTACGAAACGTGGCCCTCCATGCCAGTACATCGCAGACAAACTAAGGGAGCGGAAGAACGACATTCATACTTTCGTATTCACAACTCGTAAGAAGTGCTTGGCTGTCCTCGGAATATTTGATGTCATTTTCTGCTTTTCTGGCCCAGAAGTGAACGTTGGCTCTGCTTCCGGCATACCGATTATTATGCACTTTAGATTCCGGGAATGGTAGGAGCGCTCTCGCCCATGCGATCGCCACACCATCCCCCTCTAGCCCTCCATGTTCTCATATTGGACTCTACCCGATTTATCGTAACATTTGTCGGTGTCTACTTTGGAATGAAAAGAAGAATAGTCCACATAACGGACGCTAAGAAGGAGCGGAATGTTTACAAAAGCTAGGAAGTTTCAAGACACCTGTTTCTTATTTTCGCTCTGGTATGCACCATACAATACTCTGCAATGTGCTCAAGACATATCTATAGTATTGTACTTGAAAGCAAGCTTGTTCATGCAAACCTTATCATACTCTGATTAGCGCTAAAAACAAAACAAAAAAAGGTATTTGTTTTAAAACCACGAGGAAAAAAATGAATGACGTTCACAACTTCCTGTAACGCCGATTTAGAGCGCGGCACTTGAGGAGGAGGAGGGAAAAGTACTGATTGGGGAGGGTATGACCCTCCTCCTCATCCGTACCCTCTCCTCCTCCCCTCCTTCTTCATGCCCGAAACGCGCGTCTTCATGCGACGTTTCGGCGCGGTGCCGAAACGTCACAGTGACGTTCCGTCACGAGTGACGTTTCGGCACCGCGCGGTTACGCCGACGCCGACGGCGACGCCGCTCAAGCTGGGAACAGGCGCCTAAGAGCTTCGCTCTAAAATGAAAGACGTTTTCAAATTTCTGTAATGCGAAACTAGAGCGCAGCTCTTGAGGAGGAGGAAAGGAGGGTGCGGAGGGGAGGGTATGCCCCTCCTGCTCCTCCTTACCATCTCCTCCTCCTCCTCCGCTCCTACCTCTCCCTTCCTCCTCTCCCTCGTACTATGCATTACGGGACGTTTTTTCTGCTAAATCTAGCGGGGAAAATTTTCCGTTAAATTTAGCGGAAAATTTTTCCCGCTAAATTTGGAGGGGAGATTTTCCCGCTAAATTTAGCAGGGCCAATTCCCCCTCTTAATTTAGTGGGAAAACTTCCCGGCTAAATTTTGCGGGGAAACGTCCCATAATGCAACGCGCGTGGTTACGCCGACGCCGACGTCGCTCGACCCGCAAACAGGCGCCTAAGAGCTGCGCTCTAAAATAAACAGGCTCCAGAGACCGCGGGTTTAATCGGTACTTTGTTCTCACTCAGGAACATTCATCCCTTGTGTTTTATCCCAGATCGATGAGATGCAGTTCAACAAGATCATGGAACTCATCGAGTCTGGCAAGAAGGAGGGTGCCAGGCTTCTGGTCGGAGGAAACCGCGTCGGAAACGACGGTTACTTCATCGAACCAACGGTGTTCGCAGACGTCACCGAGGACATGCGTATCGCCAAGGAGGAGGTCTGTGGCCCCGTCTTGTCGATCCTCAAGTTCAAAACTCTGGAGGAGGCACTGGAGAAAGCAAACAACTCCATGTACGGCCTAGCAGCAGGCGTTCTCACCAAGGACATCGATAGAGCTATGGCTTTCGCTTCTGGTGTTCAAGCTGGAACCGTGTGGTAAGGAAACGCGATGTTTTCATGTCTAAAAATGTCCGAATGTTGGATCAGGCCAACTGAGTTTTCTATTGACGGCTCTTCGCGAGACCAGCTTCATCCAATTATACCATGCAAACACGTGCACCTTTAACTGAAGATAAGTGTGACTGAGGTCAGAGCGAACCATGCTTAACGGCGTCCGGCGGTCATGTAAGCCGTAGTTACGCTTACGTATCGTTAGCGGTTGCCGCCAAATATACCTTATAGATACAGGGACACCCTTAACCACATTTAAGTCTGGCCTCAGCCACACTTGGCTGCGGTTAAAGCAGGGGTCACACTGCTTATACATCATACAAGTGTCCGTCTGCATGCGGATTCGGACGCGAATCGCCGCGAGATCCGTGGTTTGAATTCCGCAAGGCAATAGAGAGTTTTAGTACAGTGGCTTAAAGGGGGTCGTGTGGTTATCGCGTAGCCGCCACCATGCATCGGGAACGGCCACTCCTTGGAAGACGATGTAGGTGGCGCTTCTATCCGCAGCTCCGTTGGGTGCCTCAATCGGCCGGCAGATAGAGGCACCCTAACACGCTTCATAACTAATATAAATACATCAAAAACGATTATTTCTTTCCAGTGAACCTCCAACGACATGATTTGTGTTTGAAGGTGAATAAAAAATGTGAAACTAGCAGACGACAGTGTAGTCGACAGCTGCGAATCGGCCGGAGCTGGCCGGAGCCAAGCTGACCAAGCGGCCAAGCCGGAGCCATAGCCGGAACGACGGTGCTGCAAGCGCCAGCGCCGCCCGCGGCCGTCTTCGAACGCTGTGCCGCTTCTCCGGTTTCGTTCGTTACACCACCCCCTTTAAGCCACTGTAGTTTCAGAGTGTGGGGCCCCAAAGCTTAGTGGCTCGAAAGAAATAGGGCCTCACCACTGCGCTTGCGCAAAACCGAAACTCCGTTTGGGATTTCAAATTGGCGCTTGCCCCCCCCCCCCCCCCCCCCCACGTAAAATTCGAGAAATAGCGTGAGGCCCCTATTTGCTTGGGGCCGGGCTGCGTCGGCAAACATGGCGGCAGCCTTTCCGCTCGCTTCGGAGCAAATTCGTCATGGTCGCTGCAGTATTAGCCAATTTTATTGCCAATGAATGGTGCAACCTGCTTTGGCTCTGCTTTGTCTCGCTCAAGTTACAAAAGATGAGCGGTGGGCTCGCCCCATTTTAAAGATCGTCCCTGATTCTGGCCGTCCCTAAGTCTAAAGAGACGCTGTAACTGTTGACATGGCAACGTATTACTACTCCGTGGCTCCGAGTGGATTTCATTCGTGGCACGATACCTGCCGCTTGAAAACAAGTATTTCAAGGCTTCGAAGTCGCTCCAGCTCAGATCTAAATAGAGCAGCTGCTCGCAGAGTATGCTTGCTGGCGTTGGTCTCAGTTTCGGCATAGTTGAAGGCCTAAATCTTCGGCGACAGACGGTCAAAGCGCACACGAACGCCCAAAAAATCTGAGAACGAGCGCCATATTAGAGCGCTACATATTGGATCGTTTCGGCTGAATACAGCCAACAATATTTATACTTATTTTAGATTGTTTCTTGTTTTAGCCGGCTTGACTGGGATTTAACTTAACTATTATTTGTAAACAAAAAGTACTTGCTAACCGCACATGTTTTACGTTTATTAATAATTTATCTTTTTTGATTATTACGCTCGTTAGCCGAATTGTCGCTGCAAACGGGAAACGTAAGCGCGCTTCGCTGCGTTGCTAAACCCCTATTCTATAAGCCGTAGACGCCAACCTTGTTGCGTTTGGGTCCCCCGATTCCTTACCCAAACGTTGGGGACCCCTATTCTAAAACTCTCTAATGTGTTGAAGGAGAAACTTGGCGCGCGTCATTCGAACCACGGACATTGCGGTGACTCGGGGTTGCAGACTGTCTTTTGTCTGATGTATGAGCAGTGTGCCCCGAGGGTGCCCATGATGCGAAGGTGTATCACAGAGAAAAGCTGCTACCGTGGTCTGGTTATTGGGCACCGTGATACTTACGAAGGAGTACGCACTAGTGAGAATTGAAAGGCTGCTGTAAAAAAGTTCCAGTGGGATGGAAAACGCTTAATATGGGCGTTAAACAAAGCAGAAAACACTTTTCCCACTATGAATTAATAGGGAGTTTTAGTAGATCGTTTTCAAAGGCCCGCTACCACTACGAGCGCACGCTGCAGAGCATGCATCGAAGTGGCAGCGCGAGCTCCCGCTACGATTAGCGTGTCCTGAAAACACGATTTACTAAAACTCTCTAATCATAATTGAAGCACTTAAATTGGCATTATTCTCGTTTTCTAGAAAGCACGAACGGAGCGGTTTCTCAATTTACATACAATTACGAACTCGCCACTACTTCATTTCTATGTTCTGATGTCATCGGCTATAGTCCTCTCATTTTCTTTCTAAAATTAAAATTGGGTTGTGTGTGTGTGTGTGTGTTTATACAGCCTAGAACTTGGTCTGCCTCAATGGGCGATGAGTCTCCCAGCTGTAGATGAGCAATTTAGCCAGCGCAGTACAACCACTAGCCTGGGGTCTTTAACGTGCACCGCGCAGTAGTGATACACGACCGCACGCCGGTACGAGGCTCATCCAGATCGAAACGGGCAGGGGGTGGGGCTCGAACGCAGGATCCCTGGGTTCTGCAGCGCGAGCTTTCGCTCCACTTGCTCCGAGCTGGTGTGCGCTAGACCTCTCGGCCACCGATCCCCCCATTTTCTTTCTAGCGCCAAATACTCACTGCGTTGCCATGCAATTCTTGAGATATTTTGTAATTGATTCGTTTTATTTTACAATTTTAATTTACTTAATAGGATCAACACCTCCCTGGCGTGCAGCGTGCAGGCTCCTTTTGGAGGATTCAAGATGTCTGGCCTTGGTCGTGAAATGTGAGCGTCCCAGTAGCATTGTTCCTTTCGATGTGCGCACTGAAGTGAATAATCCGAATCGCCACGTTCTGTTCTGAACGATAATTTTGTTTACTGCGAAGCCCTGTTATGTGCTAGGATATAAAAAAAAAATGCGTCCATGGATGTTAACAAAAAAACAACAACAACAACAAAAAAACGCCTGTTTAAACGGCGCTTCTTCGTTTCGATTGGTCGTGGCAAGTATAAACAAAGAGAGGGGGCAACCTGCGTGAGTCAGCCTTCCTTGGCATTATTAGATAGTGAGGTCCTGATGCCTTGTTATCGTCTACGGTCACCGACTTCTCTCAGCTAAGAGTGCGCTGTGACGAGGCTGAGGGCCGAACACGCCTATCTAACCTTCTTTTCTTTCGCTTCCGCGATGCTTGTAAAGACACTTGAACTCAATCGGAAAAAAACTGTCCTCGAGGTGTGCCTCGAACAAAGCCTTTTAAACAATGAAGTCACTTACGTGTCTTCATTGCAATCATGTGGAAATCGTATAGCCGTCGTATACTTATTGTAAAGATAACAGCTTCGCTGGTCCTCCATTTTCACGTAAAGTGGATTGGGCTCTACAATTTCTTGAGCTGTCCTAAACTTGCAGGGGAGAAGAAGGACTGATGAACTACCTCGAAGTCAAGACGGTGAGTGCATCGCTTTTTACTGTTAGCAATCGGCTATGCACGCTGTACTCAAAATAAGACCAAACAGAGGGGCAAAAAAAAAAAAAATCTAAATTGTTATCTGCATGTACGCTTACATAATTTATGTTCGGATGTGCCTTAATTTCGCGTTCTTGCTTTTTTGCACATTATGTGCCAAAATGGCACGATGACCAATAAAGTATTAATCTTAGTACTGTAAATTTAACAATAAATTCTACTTAGAAAAAAAACAAGAAAACAAACAGACACAGAAAATAACATCAAGCCTAAAACAAATTGAAGTTTATATGTGTTTACTGCTAGTCGATGTCAGCCTAAGAAATAAAGGGTGTGGCCCATATTTTTGTCGCTACTTGCTTCATGGTTTGTTCCTCGGCGTTCTTAGTGGCTAATGCTGCCTTCTCATTGGCGTAGGAGCGATAATAAGGCTCACCATGCCCCGATTTTTAAGATACCTCAGCGACTGTGCAAGAGTCAAGGACAAGTTTCTCACGGTTTTCATTTCTCCACGCAGATCACTTTGAAAACCTCGCAGAAGAAATGACGAACCGGTAAATTTCAGTGTTGACTTTCAGGCTACTTTTCCCACTGTCCTAATTTCCGCTGATTTATACTCGAGGATCGTTGGTTAGTTTTTCTCTTTGTAGGGAGGAATGAAATAAAGTGGTTTGTCACTACCTTGTCGTAGATCGCCCTGTGAACAGTTGTGATTGTGATACTTTCTGTAAATAATATGAATGAGCCCCCCTGTGAGCTCTGGTACACTCACTGCTTCGTGACGCCGTAAAAGTCTACGCCTGTCTCAGAAGTAAGTATAGCTGTGTGGTGTGTATGTTTATGCGGCCTGAAGTTAGTGAGCCCCAGTGGGTGCCATGTGTCTTCACTGTAGATGAGAAATTGAGCCAGCGCAGTACGACTGCTACTCCGTTTTCCCTTATGCTGTGCCGCAGCGAAGGCTAGAAGCGCGAGCTCAGAGCGTTGGCAGCTGCCCTTAAGGCCACGGTCCCACTGAATGTGGCAGTTTAGGTACTTTTTGGCAGGTCATTATTCATCTCCTTTTAAATACCGTTTTGTGGGATTGATGTCATTCGAAAGGCAATGCAATCCTCTTTCATTTGATATTATGTATGTGTCGGTTTTTACTGTTCATGCGCGTTTGTAGCGTTGCGAATATGATGGCGCGGACCCTCACTTGCTCCGCTAGTTCATGTTTTATGAACGAGCCATTAAAGATAGCACGGTTCGAATATAGCAGTTTTGTTAAGATGATGTCGGAGCAGAATGTAACGATACACTTTTTTGGTATTTGCACTAGTTTGTTTTTTTCATCCCTCCAAATATTGCCCTAAAATTGACATTTTTCAGCACAAATATGTTTTTAATGACAAACGCTAGGGCAATCAAATTAACTACAGATGTAGTGCTTATAATTGGTAATATGCAGAAAAAAAATTAATGTTGTGTAAAATATTTTTGTTTAGATATTTTATATCAAACGTAGCACTTTTTTGTGCTTCGAGTCATGGTACTTCAAATGCCGCTGAGGAAATAATTAAACTATGATAAAATCTTTGATAACATTTAGAGCTACAGTGGTTGCCCAAGAGGTGGACGACGGCTTTTTTTCATTTTCAAAGTCATAACGCTCCAGGAGCCCTTCAAACTTACCTGTTTTTGACGCATATCTTTTTTGGACATCAAACAGATTTATTGGCATCTAATAACATTTATTGTTTGGAATAGATATACATTGCGATGTATTAAGTTTTCACAATGATCTTGCTTTGGTTTTTTAATAGGTGTAGAGCTTAGCTAATTTTAAAAACAATGAAAAACTGTTTGGGTGTTTTGTTGCGCTACCTGGTGGATGGCAGACAAACTGCTGATTTCTAGTGTTCGAAAAATTTCCGAGGGCGGCGCTGGCGTCTGTATCATCATCAATCTCCGTGTCTTTTTACCTTCACATTTAAAAAATATATTGGAAGATTTACTACCGATAAATGAATGGTTTAAGTACTGGGTCAGGTTAATAAATCTTAGACAAATAATAACACACGCGTAGCGTGATATATGTGTTCATTATTCGATATAATTGAAATCATTAAACAATAAAGACGAAGAGGAAAATAATACACCCGAGTTCACTTCATGCCTAGAGTAACTAAATGAACTTTAAAGTATCGGCACTCCATTCCCCAAAATTGTTTTGGGCGCCGCCATTTTGGGTCTTGTCCAGAGCAAACGCAACTGCCGATCGTCATGATCCAAAAGTACGACTTCCTCAGCATTAGATGCGGTGATAGGAAGCTGATGCAATATTGCAATGCTCTGTCGCGGGTTGTTTAAACATTTGTGGGGGACGGAAAAGCGTTTCCTGTGATTTTATATAAAGCTTCAGGTAACTGGCAACCATGATTTTAAGCCACAATATGGTCAAGTGTGTTACTCTGAACCTTAGCTAATTTACTGGCACAAGCGGGAACAATGAGGAAGAGGCAGGTGTCAAAAGGTAGTGGCTTGTGGAACCCACGGGGCTTACGTCATGGCCCCTCCAGGTATTCCAAGCCTCTTGAACAAGAACATGAATAGTGCCATTAAATAAGCTACGCGTCAGAGTAGTCACACTTGGCCATATTGTGGCTTAAAATCATGGTTGCCAATTATTTGAAGCTTTATCTGAAATCACAAGAAACGCTTTTCCGTCCTCCACTTTAAACAGTGTGCGACAAAGCAAAGAAACATTACATGAGCTTCCTAACACCGAATCTAATGCTGAGGATGTCGCACTTTTGAATCATGACGATCGGCAGTTGCGCCTGCTCTGCACAAGCACCAAAATGGCGGCGTTCACAACACTGTCGAAGAAGAGAGTGCCGAGGCTCTAAGCGCAGCTAATTTATTTGCTCTAGTTCCCGCGAAACTCCTTTTCCCTGACCGAAACTGAAAGTAAATATGAATAATACACCAGTATTATAGCTTATTTAGTTATAACCAACTACACATAATGAAAGGAGGAAGCGGTCGGGTAGGAGAAACGCGGGTTTTATGTGCGACCGTTCTAACTATCTCAAAAGAGAAAACGCGCGAGCTTGCCCTGGTTTAAAAAAAGGCATCCAAAGAAAAGAGGCGGCACGCTGTGCTCTTTGTTATTATGCGTCTAATTGCAAATTGTTGTGTGTATGTTTATACAGCCGGAAGTTAGTCCGCCTTAGTGGGCGTCTGACTCTCAGCTGTGGAGGAGCAATTTAGCCAGTGCGGTACAACCGCAAACCTGAGGTCTTCAACGTGCACCATGCAGTTGTGATACACGACCGCACGCCGGTAAGATTCTCTTCCAGATCGAAACTGGCAGGGGCGGGGTGGCTTCTGCAGCGCGAGCTTTCGCCCCAAGTGCTCCGAGCTGGTGTACGCTAGACCATGCACTCGGCCACCGACCGCCCCCCCCCCCCCCCGCCCCCCCCCCCTTTGTGCGTCTAATTTATATACAGGTATAAGTATTTGAAGATCGACGATGGACGTCGATCGTCTCGAGGTAATGTAACGTAATAACATTATATAAATAATAAACTTGTTGAAGGACTGAATGACTCAATTTTTTAATTCTTGGATTGTAATATGGTGGTAGCCTATTGTACTTACTGTTGATGAAGAGCAATATGAGGTGACGAGGTAATGATTAAATGATGAGGCTGCATAAGGACGACGATATTAGTGGGTGTCGAACCACAACGTACAGTGCCAGACTTGTTTCAAGTATCGTGTACCCAAAGACTTTCTTCACCCGCAACAGAATATGGTAGAATCAAGATCCTTGCTGCTTTACAACTCTACGTGGAACAGGAAAACTGCACTGTGCAGAAGTGCGGCTTATTCGGTAATAGGAGGGACGGATTTCTAGCAGAATTACCTGATTGGCTACTTGGAACAAATGGTCTCGTTGACGTAAAGTATCCCCGTTCCAAAAGATTCTTGAAGCATACTTAAACCGCAAAGGAGTATGAGGCGAAAAATAAGAAAAAGGAGCCTGGCGTGAAAGGTCCAAATCACCACCATAGCTTCTACTATCAAATACAATGGCAGTTACACAATACACAAAGAGAATTTTGTGATTTAGTTATACTTACACTCAAGGGCATTGATATCCAACGTATTCAGAGAGATGACACCTTCTGGTCAACCAACATAGAGCCTTTTCTACTCAAGTTTTACATGGAGACTTCGAGTCTTTCCAGAAAGTTAGCCCAGGTGCAAGGACTTTTGTCGAAAGCGGTAAGTGTTCGAAACGTCGACAACGTCGGTAGCCACTCGTTGTGCTTGACACTGGACACTTACCATTCGCTGAGAAGAAACTTGCTTGTTCGTCTGCCACGAGTCGGCCGATATCAGGTCATCACCGCAACACCATCTCCCGACAAAAACGCATAGTTAGCAATCACGTGAACTTATAAATTCCCGAACGCTCATAACTTGCCGTCGCTAAACGCCGTTCATTCATAGCGTCGTCATTGCAAATAGACGTCTTCCTATTTCTTCTGATGGTTTTCATCATATTCCTTTTAAGCTGTACTTACAACATTATGTGTGTCGGTTCTTCCGAAAATATTGCAACGGCGTTTGTTTTCTGGGAACTATAATGTAACAACCTTTACAACATCTTCCGGACCCCGTGAAACACAATATTTCGTGACGTTATTTTAGTCGTCATTAAAATGGTGAGGTAAGTACCGTAAATCGCGAAGCAGTTTACTTGACGTCCGCTTCCACTGGTGTCTTGGAAGATTGAGTCTACTGAGCGTGCATTCCTGCAGAAGAATTTTTCATTGATAGAATAATTAACACGTCAATCAATATTTGATTCCTTCTTGGTAAGACTTATTGCGAAAGCCCGTTACAACCGCCGAACCGCATCTCCCCGTATCAGAAAACAATTTATACCCAGCCTGACATTCTCGCATACATTCGTTTGCTGGGCCACGCTACTTGAGCCAGCTGAGCCCAGCTGGCAGCGGCGCGAGCAAGGCCACGAGGGGAACGTGGTGGTGCTCTAGCCATCCCACTGTGAACCAATGTTTCGGCCACCCCACGGTTGCGTGTCGCCATCTTTTGGTTGAACTAACGCCTTGTTCAAGATGGCTGCCGTGGGACCACAGCCTTAATGCACGAGAGCTTGTGATGCCGAGATGTGCCTTAGAGCAAGAGAGCTCGCGTTTGTAGCCTTTCCTGCGCTACATCATAAGGTGAAACAGAGGTCTTCAACGTGTTTCGTACAGTTATGATTACACAACCGTTCGCCACTAGATGACCATCCAGATCAGAACTGGCAGGGGTAGGGATTGAACCAAAGCTTCCTGGGTGCCCCAAAAGTGTCACATGCTACCTTCTTTGCGGTGTATTCTTTTTGAGGACCGAAGAGCGAACAGATTATTATTGGCGACTCCAGCGAAATCGACGGCACCTGGTGGTTATAAAAGAAAGCTGTGGCGGCAGGTCATGGCCTCCATTTGTCAGGAGAGATTGAAGAAAAAAACAAAATGGCTCGCGGCTATTGCCCCTGCGGTGGCGCTAGGTACAGGGCTGGAAGTCAAGATCATTGGGCTGAAAAATGCGTTTGTTTGCCCGAATTACACTCGTTGCACCTCACCAGGAGACACACCAACGCCTCCTCCATATTCCATGC